TGACACAGTGGCGTCGCTAGAGTACGATGCGCCGGGTAGCAAAACAATTAATGCGCCTTTCTCCAAAAATAAAAAATAAAGATAACTCGCATACACATGCAGGTGCAGGGCAATAATGATAACGTTCAATACTTCGCATCGCATCCTTGCACGTGCACCTCGCATGACTTCATTTAGTTGAAATGTGATATTGTCAAGTTTCGAGATACAATAGGCCTTTATGTTAAATAAAGGTTTTTCTTTTATACATAAGCTTAGAGGTTTACTGTATCACAGTTAGATAATTAAATTTAAATCTTGTAAGATTATTTTTGTTGACTTTTTGCTACTCTGATTAATCCCAACCGCGATGTAAATGTAAGTAATATAATAAATAAACCAATAAACGATACTAACCGCGGCGCCTTTCGGTACTTGGCGCCGGGTAGCAATTGCAACCCCTACTACCCCGATAGCTACGCCACTGAATTGTGACACATGCATGATTAACGTTCGATTATTGCTCATTGTAAGGGCTGATATTGGTAACCAAGGACACAGGAGAATTGTAGGATTACTTGATCCTTGAATTTTGACAATTAATTTGGAAGTAGTTACTTATTGTATAATTTCCGCCTGAATACGTCCAAATACCCATTAAGTTTTGTTATTTTCGATGATGAAGAAATGTCAAAATCGTGTTGCCCGCAAATAAAAATTATTGATTGTAGATGCAATTTCGGTTGTCTAAATGGCCTAATGCTTTGACGTAGTCATTTTAAGAATATAAATTATGGGAATTGTACGTATGTATTCCCACAACATATTATTTATTTATTCTGGGCTTTATTTTTAAGTGGGCGTGGTTTCAGCCAAGAGCTGGTCTACCAACCCACCCCTTTTACTACCATCTCAATACATTTACAAATATCCATGCCCGAACCCGGATTCGAACCAGGGGCCCTTAGTCGCGGCGGTTGGCTTCCACGCCACTGCCCCACACAGATCGGCTCAATGTTACGAATTACAACCACATGAACTCCGTATGACTTACTTGTAAGACGCTATCCACCCCATAAAAGTTTAAATGGATAGCTTTTATGGCAAAACGGTTCCCCCTACTACCGATTTAGCGCATCTTCTAGAGAATTGGATGTACAAAGGAACATTTTCCCCGTCTGTTCATCAATCCACTCCTACAATTCTTTCCCATTCTATAGTCTGATGTTTCACAATGTATAGGTTTGAAAATGTTACTTCCACGTTCGTTGCGGCTATGATGTTGATTTTTCTTACTGACACATTGAGTTGTAGTTGCTGCTCAGGTTATTAACTCGTTGTATAAAACACCTCTTTTGCTTCGCCTATACCGGGTGGTGCCTAGCGCGACGCAGCATAGGGATTTCAATGGTAATTTCTTTATAGTCAATTACTAGCTCTCCTAATTATTTTAGAGCAAAAGTCTAAATAGGTTTTTTTTAGAGAAAAAAATACTGCATCTGTTCATACTATTACTTATAATTTTCCGTTTTTCAAAACCGTAGAAATCGACAAAATAAAAAGTTTCATTTTACAATAAATCAAATATGCCTTGCAATTACCTAAAAAAACAGCGATCACGTTTAATTATTTGCCTTTGACGTATATTAAATTTATACTTGTTTATAAATTAGTTAAAGAACTGCAAGTGCAATAACGTTCAAAATGTCCGTCAAAACCATCAGGAAAACGACATTACATTCAACGTTTTGGCTGCAGTAGCGGAAAATCCGAATAAAAGTTTAGGAACAAATCTTCTTCAAATCAGATTTTTTTCTTCGATTATGTAGGTACTCTGATTCCGGAAAATGATAAACAAATAGTATCTGATGCAGATGCAGCATACATTCTCTAAAATAACATTACCCTAATTTTAATTTTAATTGCGTCGATTAGTTGAAACAGAATTAAATATGAAAATCGTTCGACGTTAAACAATGATAACTTAAATGGGATGCGCTTGTAGTTTGTTAAAAGGTTCCAAAGCATCACTGATTTATTAAAATATAATTTTTTATTTTGTCGATTTCTACGGTTTTGAAAAATGGAAAATTATAACTAATAGTATGGAACAGATGCAGTATTTTTTTCTCTAAAAAAACCTATTTAGACTTTTGCTCTAAAATAATTTGGGAGCTAGTAATTGACTATAAATAAAGAAATTACCATTGAAATCCCTATGCTGCGTCGCGCTAGGCACCACCCTGTATAAAGACATGTTATATATTATGTGGTAAATAAATAATGTGGTATTGATACTTATATCCAGAACTTAATTTGGGTATATTTATGACAAGCACAAGAACGCATTTAATTTAATCAAATAAGTTCCGCTTTGATCAAGGTTATTTTATTTCAAAGGTTACCTGGTAACTATGTGGGCGGAAGCGGGAGGGACGGAATGTATACGTCATCGAGAATTCTGACATTGACGTTCAACTTTGTTTGTAGTCGCGCGGGTGCTTATTTTTCTTGAGTTATAGTTTAGTTGTTTAAAATTTGTTGAATTTTGAAGTGCATAAGGACATATTCTAGCTGTAGATATCTGTATGGTGCAATATAAAGACATTTAGTTTGTGAATTTTGTGGGGGTTTTCATAGCCGTGATTGAAAGGTTAGTCCATCAATTATATTGAACTCTGCAAAGTGCAACGCAATTCCTGCTTCGAGTGCACTTCAAGAAACAAAAAGCTCTCCACCTGCAGAACCAGGTCACCTTGCCAGCTCGACCTCGCGCCACACTCCATCAGTCAGAAGACCTGCATCTGGGCTCACCCCAACGACAGACCTCGCCGTGTGCACCTCGGTTACCATTTTGTACATACTATAAATATACATTTTCCATAAAACGCAACAGCTTTTATTTGGCGTCATCCGCTAAAGAATGTTTAGAGTTTTAATTCCCAAAGGCTAGGTATTGGTACATAGGGGTGGTTCCTATTTTGTAGAACGCGGAATTTTATCCATTTCCACCTCTAAAATTAATTTGATTACATTTTCACAAGTCCTCGTGTAATGTAAAACAGCTTACGCACCACACTCATTTTTGCAATACTTTGATTGTTTTCAAAGGTGGAAGTCGATAAACTTCCAAGATTTCCAATATAAGATCCACCCTCAAATACCTATACCCATATAATATACAGAGGCGTTTTCTTTTTAATATTTGTTAAAGACAATTTTTTCATTTTATTATTTTGAATGAAACTATATCTTAGCAGGCGCCATTGTTAAATACTGGCTAACATAAAAGATTAAATTGCTTAAAGATACGCATTAATCATAAAAATCCACCCGACTGTCCTCTGAAGTTGATTATTAATGAGAAGACGCAACGTTATTGTGCGCCATATCCGTCATAAATGCCTAAACTGTATAAACTAATCCATTACTGAAATGTAACTTTCTTTAAATAAAATGCCATGAAGTCCATTAGTAGTAACGTTTAAGTGGCCTTTCAGAATTACTTTCGCAAAACGGATACACGCTCTACCCTATCACGTATGTTTGCTGTAGCTGTATGCGTTTTAGGTGTAAGGAAGAACGACATTCGATACAATGTAAATTGCGAGTGCAAGAATATGTCAGTTGCAATTTATGTGTAAATAAAATATAGTCGGAGGAAATAAGAATTTACGTCTTTGAAATTGCTTTCTTTGTAAATATGCTCAGAGATTCAAAGTGTGTGACGTGAGTTAAGATGGCACTGTTTTTTCTCAAAACCCGGCGCATAAACGGCTAACTAGCTCAGTATTTAAAAGGATAAGAGATATTTAACAGTTGCTAATTCGGTGGGGCATACAAAATCTTCGTACGCTCCGCCGCAACTATGGTTGAGCACCACCCGATCCTCGTATGAAACTGGGAGGTAGGTGTTGAAAGAAAGCGATAAAATAAAATAGTGGCAACGAAGTAATCCAATAATTTATTTCATTATCATTCAAACAAGCAAACATTTCCTTGCTCCTTAATTTTGAATTTTTGAATTGGATTGTTTTCCGTTTTGAGCAGTTGTAGGTAAAGTTATGTATCTCATTCGTGGGCTAGAGAATATTACAGCAAGTCGTGTATACGACCTCGTCATCTACAATCTTCACGCTCGTAGTGTAATGATGCTTATATCCCACTAATAAGAGAAATAACTAATTAATTAATACAATTTCGAAAAGCAACGATATTCAATGTACAAGAGTAATCAATCTTACCTTTAACGAAGAAATTGCCGGCACAAGAAGACAGCTGTGTTCCGACGCTTGGGGCATTTCACTCTAAAATGAAGAAAAAGAAACAAAAATGTTTCAAAGTCACTAATGGGTGTTGCCGCATAACACAACAGTAAATGATGAGCAACTGGCAAATATAGACCATAGCAGCAACTTCGTTGTATTACGTTAAAAAAACCTGAGTAACTTTACTCGATAATTAAAAGTGGTGCATGTATGATACAAATACTTGTATCCAGATCCACGATCGAATACCTTAATATGGTAGATACAATACTTTCACCCGATTCCTTTTTTAGATGAGACGATCTATAGGTAATAATACTACGGGAACGGTTTATAATTATTTAAATTGAATTATACTCCATATAAAACATTTAGAAAAGTTCCGAAGCGTAATTCAGTAAAATTCAATTAAATCCTCCACAATGAGAAAGTGTCTAGCTAGACTCAATCCAAAACTCAAGACAGAACATCGAGTTAATCGCCAGCATATAATACTTAAAGAATTTGCAATTAAACCGATATTGAATTTGTTAGCGATGAATATAACTACACTTGAACGTGGTCGTCTACAAAACCTGCTCGCAATGAATAAGGAAACGAACGCAGTACGTTCAAATTATCTTAGAGATGTACCAATAAAAATTAGTGAAAAAATCTAAATGAAAAATACTGTGATCTCCAAGTAAATCTAAGAAATTTCATATGATATGATACCTATCCGACATGTCTAACACCTTTTATTGTTCCAGGGAGGGCGAAGCAAAATGCGGCGCCCGAGATCCGCGTCCTCGTGACACCATGACCCATACGACGCCGATGCCGAACGCATCTATCATCTATGCTCCTCACGAGGCTACTTACACTATCACACAGATCGTTTTCATCGGCACGATAGCAATCACGCTGGCGTTCATAACCGTAGTGGGAAACGTCATGGTAATGGTCTCCTTTAAAATCGACAAGCAATTACAGACCATTAGCAATTACTTCTTATTTTCTCTTGCCGTGGCTGATTTTGCAATAGGTCTCATCTCCATGCCATTATTTACAATATCAACATTGTTGGGTTACTGGCCACTGGGACCTTTAATCTGTGATACATGGTTGGCTTTAGATTACTTGGCCAGCAACGCATCAGTACTCAATTTGCTCATTATTAGTTTTGATCGGTATTTTTCGGTTACAAGGCCACTTACTTATCGCGCGAAACGAACTACTAGTAAAGCTGCTTTTATGATAGGGTAAGTTTACACTAACCATTTTGCTTTTATTATTAGGGTAATTGTGCAAATCAACGCTAAACTGGCATTTATCTTAAATAATTTGAGTTAAATTTAGATATACCTACGCTGCAATTTTTAGCACTGGTTTGGGCAATCCGAATTGAACGAAGTTACATGAAACCATTCCCTAGAATAAAATACTGAGCTAGAACTCGTTAACAGAAACGTAAGCACTTAACATGTGTTGGTTGTCTAATTTGTAAATATTTTACTCCATACACTTCATATAATCAACGTATTTACCTTCATTTAGAAGCAGTGTGACAAACAAAAACCATTAATTAACTTCAAGTATCAGTCTTCCCGGTTAGGTACGAAAGAGGCGATATTTGCGATTGGGTGTGAAAACTCCTTTTCTCCTTAAAAAAAACTGGTGAAGTGTGTGCTTCCATTAAAGTGGCGTTCATACTAAAGTCCGTTTGAACACGTTCCGATAATGACATAAGTGCCTCCTTTATAATAAAGATCTTCAATGCACCCTAATGACCCTCTCTACGCAAATCATAGCATGTTATATGGCAACTAGCATTTCCTTGCAAGAGTAGGTATAATCGATTTTATGCTTCACTCAGTAAATAATGGCTAATACATATTCCTTACACTAGAGTAGAGGAATATTTTTTTTGTAATTTCGATATGAAATACGTCAATTTAGTTAATAGGTGCCTTCTCACAAATGCTGCTCAATAGGCAGGTTCGACATTTTTTTATTTTAACTGAAATCGAGAGATTTTATTATTAAAAAACGACCAGAAAAAAATTGGGTGCAAAATATTGATATTTACATTTTGTTATTTAAATCATGGGTCGGTCGGCGCGAAGCAAGAAAACGTACCTGTGCGCGAGACTACCCCGCGCGACGTCAGTAGCCAGAAACATTTGCCGCCGTGCTGGCAAAGTATACGAGTTCACGTAAATTGGGACCGATTTATTTATTGTCTGCACAATGCTGCAAAGTTATCAATAAACTGATTCGCGTAATTTACCCCATGTGAATGTGGAAATGGAGTTTTTGTAGATGAATATTATGTCTACTTTAAGGCCACTGCTCTGAGGTTCATTTAAAATTGCGTAATAGGCTTAGACAAGGCAAGAGAGGGGACCCGTAATACCGCATCCACGGCATGCGTGAATTTGACGCGAATTTCGAGACGACCGCCATATTTTCGGTGGCACTCAAAGCGCGGTGGCAGTGTGAATTTTTTGACATTTCTTCATTATTGATAAAGTTTGTGTGTGCAAAACTGTGTGATATAAACGTGGTGAATTGTTCTGCGTACAACTGTAAAAGTTGCAGTGGTCGTTGTCCGGCAGGAATATCATTTCATAGGCAAGATAAAAAACGGCACGTTGTCTGGTTTGGCTAAATTTAATTAAATCTTCATGGTAGTTAATAAAACACTTTTAAGGTCTTCATTTTCATAATCTTACAATTGTCCTATATTTTTGTGCATCAATAAAATACTGCTTTATACTTCTTTTCATTGATAATTTCTCGATTACAGTAAGCAAGTGATATAACCTGCAAGCGATATTCCAGTGACGGCATGACTATCTAGTTACATGACGTAACAGATATGTACATGTTTGGATGCCTAACCCTTAGGCGACTGATTACTTTGTATGGAGTAGTTTAACTACAGTGTATGTTGCCTTTGTATGCACTTACATGTAGTACGACAGATAGGATTTGGTCTTCAAAAGAGAGAGGTCATCGATCGATGTTCGAAGCAATACACATCGATCGCCGCCACATTCGATAAACACAAGATATCCTGAAGGAAGATCGTTATGATTAAACCCGTTAGGGGAGAAGACATCTCAATTCAATATTATCAGTCGTCATCGTCAACGGTTTGCTACAGTATCAACAGCTTATTACTTAAGTACAAGAAACTGAGGAAGGGGTTTAAAGAAATTCTTTTGAGACACGTTTTGTATTTGTCTTATGCGGCTATCGATTTGGACCTAACTGGTCATCTTCAGATCGAGCGTCATTGATGAAGTGAAATGAATACAACATTTTTTTAACAATGTTATATAGTAGTGGTCAGGAATGACAAATTAATGTACGAAAGAGTGAGGTTGTGTATTAGCATTTTAAAAACGCTGCGTAGAAATGGTTACAATTGATTATCGAAATCAGGGCTCCGTTCGCCTAACGTTCCGTGCGCTGCGTCCAATTTATGGCTTTCATGGACATCACAATCCGTTGTTTAACAAAAAATTTGAGACAAAACTCCTTTTCCACCTTCACATGGTACCCCATGTTTATTTCTGCTAGAATACTTTTTTATAACGCGGGTAAGTGACGTTTTATGTCAAAACGTTCTCTTATGACGTCAAAAAATTTCCACTATAATTCGCTGTTACCCCTGCAGGCAAAAATTTTCGATAAATACCTCGGTTACCATGATAACGTGAGACGAAATTTGCATTTCATTGGTCGAAAATTGTTGGTGTGAAATTTTCATATATAATACCATAAGTAGTCGAAGTATTGTCGAATATTTTTGAGGTGCTGTCACGAATGCTAGTTACGCTGATTAATACCACGAGCGCTTGCGCGAGTGGTATTAAAAAGCGTAACTAGCATGAGTGGAGCAGCAGCTCAAAAATAATCTACAAATACTTCCACTACGAATGGTATTCGGAGGACTATTCAATGAATCAAAAGAAAAATTAAGCATAATTACCCATCCGAATGTATTACTATGACAACAATAAACGTCAAAATAAATTATGGAAGTTGCTTTTCATTTTGCTATTGATTCTATTCGAATTTTGCTTAGCTAATTATTTTTTATGTCATATGACGTTTGCTGCGAAAGAGGTTACCATGAAACGTGAGACGAAATCGCATTTCATTGAAAATGGTGGGTGTGAAATTATCGTAGGTAATTGCACAAGTGCATCAAAATTACCGATAATTTTTTTGAAAGCATGTTGTCTAAAAACTGCATGAGTTTATTTTCATATTTTGGCGAAAGAGCCCGACACCGAAGGTGGAGGGTTCTTTTAACAAAATATGAAAATGACCGAATGCAGTTTTTTACTGACAACATGCTTGAATAAAAAATTATCAGGTCTATTTTGATGCACAAGTGTAATTTAGGGGAATATTTCCCGAACAAGCATTACTTGTCAAACTGAGGTTAACTACTTATAAATTGTCGGTGTATTGTGAAATTGTCCAAAGGAGTTACCAGTTGCCATGGATATGGACAGTGCAATTATCGCAGGGCTCTTTCGCTTTCTACAGTGCAATTATCGCTGTAATTGAGCGATAATTGCACACCTCATATGGCATTTATGACATATGAGGGAAATATTCGGTTAAATTTTTGAGTTGCGTTCTACAGTCATCCGATCACCCTAGAATAGCTATACCTCGTTTATCCGGGGAGTAGCTCATTTGTACGCATATTAGTTCAGTTTGTGCTGACATTTGTACTGATAACAGAATTTTTTGTGATTTGTGTATTGATTTCGCGGGTCTTAGAAATGATAGAAAGTGGCGAGGGTAAAAAAGGTGCAGTAATTTTACATCTGATGAAGTAGATGGGCTCGTTAGCTTGTCTGAAGGATTCAAGGGTATAGTAGGAAGTGTTATGAAGTTATTATGAAAAGAGGCGATTGCATCGGTCACCTGGGTCACAACGCCACAGGCAAAGGTTTTGCTAACAACTGCAAAATCTGCAACTGAAATGAGCATGTTGCTTGTTGCACGAAAACGTAAACTTAAGAGCTACTTTGTTGTGGGTGTTATCGCATGATTTCTATCTGTGGTACTTTGAATTCTATCCTGAATCATTTCTAAGAGCATTTCACATGTACGCTTTTGCAGACGAAACCGTGTAAAGAATTCCAAATCGTCATATTCTTCAAAGAATTCTAGTTATGTAAAGCAAAATAACGTCAGCTTACCGACGTCCTAAACATTTTCGGATTATGTCCGTTTTCAAACTCATGCCAGTCATCTTCGTCAGAGTCAAAAATATTTATGTTCATTTTGATTTTGATAAAAAAAATCACAAAAAACACGTGCTGTCAGCTTGACAAGTAAGTGACAAACGAGAACGACATACAAAGCCGCTACCAATAGAATGGGAGAATAACTTTAATGGCTGGTATATCCAAACAATTTCAAAGGGATAACTTATCCGCCATTTTATACCTGGAATAACGCTATTCTGCAAATGTAGAACCAAATTGTCGTCGTTACTCCAAGAATAGCTTATCCGTGGTATATACTAGCATTGTACAACCGGCCCTAAGTGGGCTGGGTGTTCATAATTTCACGATTGCCATGGAAATGTCACTTGACGTTTGCTTGTAAAAATCATCGTCTTGTGAATATAACGATTTCCGTTGAAAGAGAGACACCGTCCATTAAATCGCTTGTTGTTGTTGAAGCTCCTCGAGGGTAGGATTTCCGAATAACTTTTTTTCTGACTTTTTAATTGAACGTTTATGAAAACGCGAATGCAGTAGGCACGTATTTTTTGAAAAAATAGTAGACTAGGAAATCTTGTTAGTAATTGGTCAAAGAAATGACTCGCTGTAGCGTTGAGTGACTTCGTTACAATGTCTGTAGTAATATTTAAGAAAACCGTTTTCTTTGCTAAGAAGAATTACTGACTCAGATTGGCGCAGTGTACGCGGAAAAGTCTTATTGTAGCACCCGTGTCTAGGCAAATAAAGAAAGGGTTCCATCAAAAATTTCCTGCTGCGGGACTACCAACTGCGACTCTTCAGTGTCGAGGCGATATAGGATACCTTTTGTGTCATAAAGTAGCCTTTCGCAGTCCAGCGCAGAAAGTCGGGATCGCTAAGTTTTAGTGCTCGATTATTTTTGAGACTTACGGGTCTTTTAACTGGCCCTTTCGGATGCCGCTTGCTGGTCTGGTTGGAATATCGACGGAGATGGCGCGGATGAGGCTATCGGCCTGTGTTTT